TTCCTTCCTCCCTCCCTTCCTTCCTTCCTCCCTTCCTCCCTTCCTTCCTTCCTCCCTCGTTCCATCTCTCCCTCCCTCCCTTTCTCCCTCCTTTTTCTTTCTTTCTTTCTTTCTTTCTTTCTTTCTTTCTTTCTTTCTTTCTTTCTTTCTTTCTTTCTTTTCTCTTTTCTTTGTCTGTTTTTCTTTCTTCTTCCTTCCCTCCCTCTTTCCTTTCTTTCAGATGGTATTAGGGTTTAAATCAATGTCTTTTGCTTGCTAACCAGGGGCTTTATTACTTTTTGTGTGCACACACCATTTGTGCTTTAGCTACTTTTGGCTAGTTTCTTGCTTTTGGTCCAGGGCCAACATCATACTGCAGTCTCTCTATGTATGCTTCCTATATAGCTTAGATTCCAAGCACATGCCAACCAGGCCCAGGAAATTAGTTGAGATGGCATCTCACTAACTTTTTCTCAGAGCTGGCTTTGAACCACAGTCTTCCTGATTGCTGCCTCCCAAGTAGCGATAGTTACAAGTGAGAGTCACAGGGCTGGCCCTAACATCTTTGTCTTCTATTGAAGTGGTATGTTTATATTTAGAGTATATTGCTTCACATGGATTAAAGGTGGCATTTATCTACAGTTATTCCTTCCTGAGCATTCCTGATCTTATGTGACCTCAGAAGCTAAGTAAGGCTGAGTCTGCACTTGGGAGTAAAATATTGAAAAGTTCAAAAGGAAGTCCCTTTGTAGTGGAGCTCAGTCTGTACCTCTGCACATTCCCAGACAGGGAGTCTATGAAAAAGGCATGATATGCTCACATAATCTATTTCATTCTTGTTCTATAACAATTTAATTTTTTCAGGGTCTTACCTCCAACTTTTTTTGTACTTTTTATTGTAAGAATGCTGTATAGAGGGATTACAGGTATATGAACAAGGTAATGAGTACATTTCCTATTGAGCAGCCTATGGATCAGGACAAACATCATTCTAAGCAGAATTAAAATTAGCTGAAATCCTTCTAGAATTGTTTCTACCAATTTAGACCATGCACTAATCTCCAGTCCCAGAGGGTCCAAGAGAATGAGAAACAGGAGGCCTCGGAGGAAACAAATTCCTTCTCTTGTCTGGATTCAAGTTATTGCCATCACCCTGTGTGTTCAACCCAGCTCCACCGATGAGACAACCTGGACCACTTTGTCTTGCACGTAAACAGTTCCAGTTCTTGATCTTGGTCTCCACACCTTTTCCTTTGGAAACCTCAAAGTAAGTAAGAGGGAAACCAAGTTAAGAGGGAGCACATAGGTTAAGACTTCTTCCTCCTGTAGAAAATGATAGAAAGGATTGTAAAGAACATTTCCTCCCTTACCAACTGAGGGTGAGCTGTTTACTACATAGCAGGTAAAAACCTAGCAATCAAATGGGAAGCTTTGAGGATGTAGTATTTTAAAACCTAATTATGACCCAACCTTTCTTCATATCACCACATTGAACAGTGGTTTTCAGATCCAAGGAAATATTGGGGGAACTGAATCCTAAAACATATTGTGCAAAATATTAGGTTCTTATTCTTTGAAAAAGAAATTAACATCTGATATTTCCTCTACCATTTTTCTCACATCACTATTGAAGTTTGGAAATATTTGCAGAGCTCCCTCATTATTTTGTTCCTGAGACCTTTTTAAATAAAGATATTTTATCCACTTTAAAATTCCTGAGGTCTTTTTCTTTGTGACATCAAGAAACAGAATGACTTTCAACTTCAAATGTTGAAATTAAACGTACATTTTGGCCAATTAAAAAAATCAGCTCATTCAAGAAAAAGGAAAGGAAAGAAAAAAAGACTCAGAATGTGAACTGACTGCACAGTGTTGGGTGGAATTCAGGGAGATAAATAGAATGAAGGTTCTTTGATATCTTAGGTCAATGAGTTGAGATAGTGCTTTGCTTAAAGATAAGGCACAGGAGACAATCAGCATAATATGAACATCTATTTGGGCAATAGTGCAGAAAGGAATTAGGTTGATTTTGGAGAAATGAATTAGATTATTCAGAATGAGTAATTTTAGAATCCATATTGTAATTTATAGGTGTCTCAGTGACTACCAGCCAAAACAGTGCAGGGAGAGGGGAAAGAGAATAGTTAAAATATATTTCCATGCTCCTCAGTAGATGAATAGATCAAGAAAAAGTGTGTGTATATATACATATGTGTGTGTGTGTTTGTGTGTGTGTAAAATGGAATTCTATGCCTCCATCAGAAAGAATGACACAGCCCCATTTGTAAGGAAATGGAAGGAGTTGGAAAAAATCATATTAAATGAAGTAATCCAGACCCAAAGAAAATAGGTTCCATGGTTTCCCTAATTTGTAATAATTAGTATACATCTAGGATAATCTTAGCAGATGAGCAGAACAGCTCAATAGCTATGTACATATGACCATATAAGATGATGCTAAGCAAAATGAACTCCAAGACATGGACTCAAGAGGTTTTTCTTTGTTGTTGTATTCAGTGTACTGTGTGATTTCTCTCTCTCTCTCCCCCCCCGCTGTGTGTGTGTGTGTGTGTGTGTGTGTGTGTGTGTGTGTGTGTGTGTGTGTTCCCCTGCTATGGTTTATCCACTGTTGTCACTGCATTTGATTTTGGTACCCTGAGTATTGTATATACATTTATCTGAATAGAGGAAGGAGGGGAACAAGAAATGGTGAGACAAAGGACAAAGGGGGATCCTATGTAACAGAGATACTCACAAGACAATATGTTCAAAATGATCTATACAACTTGGGGAGGGGATTAGGTGGGAGGGAGAGAGAAAAATGGAGGAGGGGATAACAAGTTAAACAAGTTAAACATGCAGGGCGCTGGTGGCTCATGCCTGTAATCCTAACTATTCAGGACTCTGAAATCTGAGGATTGCATTTCAAAGGCAGCCCAGGCAGGAAAATCCATGAGAGTTTTATCTCCAATAAACTACTCAGAAACCTGGAAGTGGCGCTGTGGCTCAAGTGGTAGAGCGTTAGCCTTGAGTTGAAGAGTTGAGGGACAGCGCCCAGGCCCTAAGTTCAAGCTCCACGACTGACAAAAAAAAAAGAACTGTAATCACTACCTTACCTATGTAACTGTAACCCCTCTGTACATCACCTTGACAATGAAATTAAAATTAAAACTAAATATAATAATGGTAATAATGAAAAAATATATTTCCATCTTTCCAAAGGAAGGGCATTAAACACAATTTGTTTACATTTCAGTGCAAGATGCCTGAGGCTTAGGGTGCTGATGTTCCTCCTGTTAAATCATCTGTGTTTTTGTGTCTGGCTGCCAGATCATCGATTCAGAGCTGTTTACTGTAGGTATAAACTCTTTTCACAGCCTCAAACCAGACACCCTGACCATACACATGATCTCTCGCTCCATAACATCTAACTGAATCACAAACATGTTGGTTAATGTGTCTGCCCATACCTGTGCTTTATGGAAACTGAGTTTTTAGACCTCAAGGCCGTACTTTAGGACTTTTACATAGTCAGGTCTGGCTACTCGCCTCTATATGCCAAGTAAAAAGATCAGGTGAAGAGCAGAGAAAGATCTTTTATGTGATGGATACAAGAAGACATCACGTTGGTACATCTTTAGGCATCTTTAGCTATCTTCTGGGATACAGACATTTGCCTCAGTGAAATAGGGAGAATTGGGAGCAGGGGTGAAACAATCGTAAGTCACAGAAGAGGTCAGAGGAGCAGCAGGTGGTTTGATAATCCAGTGTGTCAGGACTGCTCAGGTGGGGTTTTGTGGCATGAGTCTCTGATGCCCTGCACGTGGTCAGACGCTTCCTGGCTATGAAATGACTTGCAGGAGAGAATGGACCAGGACAAAGTCAGATATAAAATGGAGGAATCTGGGATGCCTTTATCTTGAGCCTAGTTAATTTGCAGGCCCCAGCAAGAAGGCAATGCTCTTCAACAACAACAACAAACATAGTGATTAAGGAGGTATTATACTTTCATATAGGAATATATATAGGTTCCACAATAAAAATCCACATGCTTTTTTGGTTCAGTGAGAGCACAGCTTTTGCACAGGACTCCAGTGATCTCTTTAACTGCTGCAAGTGATGTTTGCTTTCCATTCTTTTTCCTCCTGGTTATAGTCAATTGGATCTGAACCTTTTGCATTCCGTTAAAAAAAAACCTGACAGAAGATTCTTTGCCATCATTTCTATTGCTACTGCCCAAAACAAATAGAAACAACAAAAATATTCACATCAAAACAACAACAAATCCCCCAGAAAATAGCAAGTGTTGTTGAAAATGTGGGAGAGTCACAACACATGTGCACTCTTGAGAATGAAACATGGAGTCTGCCTGGAAAACACAAGGTCTTGAATTACAACCCTATTAACTAAGAGAAGAGAGAATGAGAGAGAGAGAGAGAGAGAGAGAGAGAGAGAGAGAGAGAGAGAGAGAGAGAGAGAAGAACAAGTGAGAAAGAAATGAGGAAGAGGAGAAAGAGTTTTTCAAATAATCACACATATTGGAGATGACTAGGTTCTATGTAGAATTTCTCATAACTGCAAATTTCTAGCTAATTTATCATTGGGTGTATTTATCTTTGTGCCAGCCCTGGGCCTTGAACTCAAGGCCTGGACACTGTCTTTGAGCTTTTTTCCCTCAAGGCTAGGCTCTACCACTTGAGCCAAGCTCCAATTCCAGCTTAATGGGTTAATTAAAGATAAGAGTCTCACACTTTCCTGCCCAGGGGGGCGGCTTTCAACCTCAATCCTTGGATCTCAGGCCCCTGAGTAGCTAGAATTACAGGCACGAACCATTGGTACCCAGCAGTTAATTAAAATCCACTTCCTAGAAAAAAAGTTATTCAGAGTCAGGTGCTTATGAAATAAACATACCAATTATCCTACCAACTTAGTGGAAGGTTCAAATGTTGCCTTGGAGTTATTACAAAAGGAAAAGTCATACTTGTTTTCAAAATTTGTGTCTTTCCTTTCAGGACGAAGCCATGGCAGGAGGAAATGTGAGTTTCCCCAACACATTTGTCCTGTTGGGCTTCTCAGAGTATCCATGGCTACAGATCCCCCTGTTTGCGGTGGTCCTGGTCTCCTATCTTCTCACCCTCATAGGCAATAGCTCCATCATCTTCCTCTCCATGGTGGAACCCAGACTCCAGACACCCATGTACTTCTTCCTGGACCACCTGTCTCTGCTGGACCTCAGCATCAGCTGCAACATTGCGCCACAACTGCTGGCCAACCTCTGGGGTCCAGAGAAGACAATTGCTTCCTGGGGCTGCACCACACAGGTCTATGTTTTCAGCTGTACCAGCTGCACTGAATGTGCCCTGTTGGCAGTGATGGCCTTTGATCGTTACGTGGCAATCTGCCGGCCTCTCAGGTACAGTCTGATCATGCATCCCTGGGTATGCGTATGGCTGGTAGCTGTGTCCTGGTTCAGTGGCTTGGTCAATTCCCTGCTTCAAGCTACACTCACCCTCCAGCTTCCTCTCTGTGGGCATCACATCCTAGACCACTTTTTCTGTGAAGTACCAGCTCTGATCAAATTGGCATGTGGTGACACTACTGTTATCAACCTATCGCTGACTTTGGTAGCCATTCCTTTTGGAATGGTGGCCCCTGTCATTGTAGTCATCTCCTACACCCTCATTGCTAGGGCTGTGCTGAAATTATCGTCAACTGAGGGAAGGCACAAGGCGTTCAGCACCTGCAGCTCACACTTGGTGGTTGTCACCATGTACTTTGGGCCAGGTATCTACTTGTACCTTCTATCTCCATCCAAAAGTTCCCAAGCCAAGTTCCTGTCCTTTTTCTACTGTATTATCACCCCACTACTCAACCCACTCATCTACACTTTGAGAAACAAGGATGTGAAGGCAGCATGGAAGAGGATCCTACAATTCCAGAGTTGGGGGAAGCTTTTCAAAGTCCCGTGACCTGTCTGTGCACACCCCAGGGTATGCTTATCCAAATGAATATTCATTTGTTCCTAGAACAGAGTCTCCAGCTCTGAAGGTCAACCATATTGATGAATGGTTTGTTAAATGAAAAGTTCCATCATTGTTTTCATCCTTCCATGAAACTATTTTTTGTCCTTTCCTAAATTTCTCGCTCTCTATAAATAAAATTGGCAGCATGGTCAATAGGGTGGTAATTAATGTCATCTTTTTCAAAGAGCTTTTTTCTTCTTCCTGTAACTTTTCCTGTTTACTGACTGACTGCCTTGCAAAGAAACTTGCTGAGAAACTGCAGCAGATTGCAGCAAAAGCTTTTAAAATTTTTTTTGTCAAGGTGATGTGAAGAAGGGTTACATGTGAAGAAGGGTTACAGTTACATAAGTAAGATAATAAGTACATGTCTTGTCAAACTTGTTACCCCTTCCCTCATTTTTCTCCCCCCAACCTTGTGAAGTTGCACAGATCATTTCCAACATATTGTCTTGTGTATATTGCTTTTGCATCGGTTCCCCCTTGGTTTTGTCTCACCATCAGCAAAACTTTTTGTTTTTGTTTTTTGTAGTATTTTTTTCTGCTCTTGGGGATTGAACTCAGGGCCTGCACTCTGTCCCTGAGCCTCTCTGTGCTCAAGGCTAGAGCTCTATCACTTGAGCCACAGTGCTACTTCTGCCTTTTTCTGAGTAGCTCATTGGTGATAAGAGTCTCACTGATTTTCTTGTCTGGGCTGGCTTTGAATCAGAATTCTCAGATCTCAGCCTCCTGAGTATTTAGATTAGAGGCAACTGGCATCTGACTTCAGCAAGACTTTTTATTTTATTTTATTTTATTTTTTGTCAGTCATGGGGCTTGAACTCTGGGCTTGGGTGCTGTCCCTGAGTGCTTTAGCACAAGACTAGAGCTCTACCATGTGAGCCAAAGTGCCACTTCTGGTTTTCTGGTGCTTAATTGGAGATAAGAGTCCCATGGACTTTCCTGCCTGGGCTGTTTGAATCAGAATCCTCAGATCTCAGCCTGCTGAGTAACTAGGATTATAGGCTTGAACTATGGGTGCCTGGCCTGCAAAACTTATAAAGTAAATTTATTATGGAATTATTGTGTCAACTACTGAAACAATTTCATTGTTTTTGTCTTTAGAAATCAGTGTAGCCTTCCACCTCAAACCATTGCTTCTCCATAATTCATCATGTTTCCATCATCAATGTATTCACCATGTAACTTTGATTATATATTTGAAATAATCATTTCTACCTCACCATATCAAATTTACTTTGCTTTTCTGAATTAACTTATGTAAAATATGACTCAATATGTCATATATTTTAAGTCAGTTTAATAATAAACATCAGTTTAATAATCTATAGGTCATTAAATACTTTTGAATATTATGGACATTCTTTTACTTTCAATAAACATAGATGGTAAAATCATTAATATTAATATAGAGTAGTGAATAATAGAGGTTGAGGGAATTGGCTGGTTGATAAACACTGGTTGAATAATTGATATCAAAACACAGTTAAAGGAAATATGGTCCAGCTTTCTGTAACATATCACCACACCTATAGCTCATAAGGACCTGTTTATATATATATATATATATATGTGTGTGTGTGTGTGTGTGTGTGTGTATTCACATATGTATATATACATATATATATATATACATATGGATAAAGGAGCTTAAAGATTTTTAAACATGATGAACTCATAAGCGGAAAGTTATAATACCTTTGACTCAATTAGTGCTCCCTCATATATTTGTTGAAATAGAACATCAAATTCTTGTAACAAGAATGAAAACTAAAAAATAAAGCTCAAGCTTCATAATAGCTCCCAATTTCATAATACTACCTTGATATTTATCATAAATACTAATAAGTGATACTATAGCTAATGCTCCAAAACCCAACATTTGAAAAAAGAATTAGAGGTATTGATAACAAGAATTAATTCTACATGCTGAGCACTGGTGGCTCACAGTTGTAATCCTAGCTACTCAGGAAGCTGAGATCTGAATGAAGAACACAGTAGACAAAGATAATCAAATTTCAGAGACTCTTATCTCTAACTAGCAGAAAGCTGAGCTAGAGACCTAGTGTCAAGTGAACAGCATTGTCTGTGAACAAGAAACCTGAGCAACTCCAGGCCCTGAGCTCAAGCCTTGGTACTAGCAAGAAGAAAAGAAAATTATTCATGTAGCCATTTCTGTTTGATTTATATTTTCCATTTACTTATCATGTATATAATGCTAAGACTATGGATATACAGATGTAGAAGGATTATAGAAAAATCCAAGGTGATCAGTATGCTTTGGTGAGGACAGGGTAGGCACATAGCTTAGTCTGAGATTTGGGTTTCCTTGAGAAAGAGATGTGCGTTGGTAATCTTGAAGAATGAATAACTTAAAAAATAAAAGACTGGGCAGAGGTAAAGAAGAGAAAAAAATGTGTAGATCAAGGAGATGACAGATAGTGGTTTGACTTATCAGGGTGAAGGGTATTGGTCAGGAGGAAATGCCAGAGGGCATAGGTAAGAGTAAGGTCCCTGAATAGAGAATTTCAATTTTATTTTACCCCACATAGAGAAAAGATGAGTGTAGTCAGGAAATAGAATGATATCTATAGAATACATGAAGGAGATAATTTTCAAAAAATTATCTTTAAGTAGCTCTGTGAAGAGGTTTCAAATCAACATGTCAGTTGATGAATACAATGCATCTTGACCAATGTCATTACATTCATCATTCTCCCCCATCTCTCCCAGATCAGTTTCTGTAACTTAAAGATTGTGCTAGGAAAGAGAAGGAAAAGCATGTTAATAACTCCAGGAAGTTATGAGACAACTACCAAGTAAATGAAAACCAGGAATTGGATTTGAGAGATAAGAGAGAAATAGTGACAGAATGATCAGGACTTGGGGTTAGATTGAAGTGAGAAGCAAGCAAAAGAGAGCAGCTTGGACTTAATTCCTGGTGTCTCTTTGCTTTGCTGGACACGGAAGGAACGTATGGGTGGGGTGGCTGAGTAGTTCAACTTTAATTACAGGAGTTGGCACTTGGTACAGTTTTTCTCAAATTAGAAGAAAGGCTCTCAAGAATCATTATTTATATTAAAGGAACACATTCTCTGAAAATATATGATTTCATGTTCAAGATGTCCTTTGAGAACAAACATACCAGGCACATGGGGACTCATTAAACTTCTGCTAACAGACTCCACACTATGTAATGAATCATTAAAAGTTTGAAGTGCCTAAATTTGGGTTGGGCCACTGAGATGATAATTTATTGGGTGGGGTCTTTGTCATTCCTACTTGGATGTATGTTCAGGCCTTGGTGGCTGACAATCCCAGTGGGAGATCTGACTCACAGTCAGTGTGCCTCAAACCCCAAGGCTTTATCCCTTAGACTTTCCTTTATTGTCTGCTGTCTGTTTCAACTCTGCCTCTGAGAACCAAATCCACAGTGGATCAAACCACACAACTGGCCAAGAGTTCAACAGCTACTGACTTAAATCAGCTTCATGCTTATTACTAGGATTATTTGATTTAAGTTCAAATGCCTTTCCTGTACCATAATGACATCAGTAGTCACAAAGGTCTGTTTTCTGTGGTTCAACCCAGGCAATACAAAGAGGAGGATTAAGACAACTCAGGCTCATAAGTGTTTCTTTTTTTTTTTTTTTTTTGCCTGTCCTGGGGCTTGAACTCAGGACCTGAGCACTGTCATTGAGCTTCTTTTGCTCAAGGCTAGAGCTCTACCACTTGAGTCACAGCACCACTTCTGGTTTTTCTGTTTAAGTGGTACTGAGGAATCAAATCCAGGGCTTCATGCATACAAGGAAAGCATTCTACCATTAAGCCCCATTCCCAGCTCACCATTCAGTCTTGAATCCCCAAGATCATTATTCCTGTTTTCCATATCCAGATTGTACTAGAAATCCTATATTCCAGAAAGAGAAATGCACTTCAACTGTATTCTTTTTTGCTACACAGTTTTCCCAAAGAGAGCAAAGACTCAAAGGTTCATACAAATATATGTATATGTATATGAATATATTTAGATAAAAGCAATGCTTTTAAAGATAGTTTCGCATTTTATGTGTCCTAAACAAAAGTAATATTTTTAGTGAGAAATTCTATTTGGATTTGTGTAATTACCACCAAGGTCAGGCTATTCCAGCAAGTCCAAACTTCCCCGGTGCTGTTTATTGACACATATGTCCCTCAACCCTAAACTGGAAGTCTATTTTCACCTCTACAGTTTTCTCTTTAGGCCAATGACATACAAATGTAATCATAAAGCACCACCATTGATTTAAACGTTTCCTTTTCAAAAATCAGCAGAATTTATTTGAGACTCCTTTCAAGGGTTGCAGTAGCAGTAGTCCATTATTGTTGGCGAATAGAATTCCACTGTGTGGTAATCTCAGTTTATCTGGTCAGAGAATATTTGGGTTTCTCTAGTTTTGAGTAATGGTAAATAGAGCTGTGACCAGGTTTCCATGGGAACATAAACTTTTATTTCTCTAGGGGTGGGATACCTAATGTAATTTATGCTCATAAAACAAAAAGCACCACACTATTTTCAGGAATGATGAACCAAACCCAACACAATGGTACATGCCTGTAATCCTAGCTACTCAGGAGGGTGCAATAGAATCACTGTAGTTTGAGGTCAGACTAGCTGTGGGGTATGCCTCTTATTTCAGCTACAGTGGGAAGAATAAAATAGAAAGATTACCAAGTGTGGCTTCACACACAAAGCAAAGTCCTATCTCAAAATAACCAGAGTACAAAGGGCTGAAGGTGTAACTCAAGTGGTAGAACACCAAACTGGCCAGTATGAGTCCCCTAAGTTTAAATTCCAATTCCAGTACTGGCTCCCCCTCTCCAATAGTGAGGTCTACTTTGCATGTTTACAAGCTATGCAGGGGAGTTTCTTGGCTTTTTAACTTCATCAGCATTTGATACTGTCAGTA